AATTCCACTCTGGAATATTCCCATTGCTGTTAGCTTGGTTTACCTCAGACCAACAGGCACTGAGGAAAATCCCAGATATCCCAAAATTCAAGATTTCCTCTGGAAAAGCCCATCAGCATCACCAGCCATGCATTTTCCCAAATAATTCCATTCATATTCTGGAATATTCCCATTCCCAGCTCATCTCAGCTTCCCATAGATCAAGAGGAACCCAGGAAAATCCCAAATATCCCAAAAGTACTCCCCAGGATTTGTCAATATTCTCCAGGAAATCCCAGATTTCTCCAGGAAATCCCAGTATTCCCCAGCAACTCCCAATATTTTCTGGGATTTGTCAAAATTCTCCAGGAATTCCCAGTAATCGCCAGGATTTGTCAATAATCTCTAGGAAATCCCAGTATTCCCCAGCAATTCCCAAAGTTCCCTGGGAATTCCCAATATTTTCCAGGATTTGTCAATATTCCCCAGGAAATCCCAATATTCCCCAGCAATTCCCATTATTCTCTGCAAATTCCCAGTATTCCATAGGAAATCCCAAAATTCCCCCGGAATTCCCAGTATTTTCTGGGATTTGTCAATACTCTCCATGAATTCCCAGTATTGTCCAGGAAATCCCAATATTCTCTGCAAATTCCCAATATTCTCCAATAAATCCCAGTATTCCTCATGATTTCCCAGTATTTTCCAGGATTTGCCAATATTCTCCAGGAATTCCCAATATTCTCAATGATTTGTCAATATTCCCCAGGAAATCCCAGTTTTCTCCAGGAAATCCCAGTATTCCCCAGGATTTGTCAATATTCTTCAGGAAATCCCAATATTCTCTATGAATTCCCAATATTCTCCAGGAAATCCCAGTATTCCTCACGAATTCCCAATATTTTCTGGGATTTGTCAAAATTCTCCAGGAATTCCCAGTAATCGCCAGGATTTGTCAATAATCTCTAGGAAATCCCAATATTCCCCAGCAATTCCCAAAGTTCCCTGGGAATTCTCAATATTCTCCAGGAATTCCCAATATTCTCTATGAATTCCCAGTATTCTCCAGGAATTCCCAGTATTTTCTGTGAATTCCCAAAATTCCTCAGGAATTCCTTCCATCCAAACCACCCCAANCCAGCCTGGACCTGGAAATCCAGGGGCAGCCCCAGCTGCTCTGGGGATTGTATTCCAGGGCCTCCCCACCCTCACAGGAACAATTCCCAATTCCCAATCTCCCACCCATCCCTGCCCTCTGGCACTGGGAGCCATTCCCTGTGTCCTGTCCCTCCATCCCTGTCCCTCTCCAGCTCTCCTGGAACCCCCTCACACCCTGAGCCTTCCCTGGATTTTTCCCTTCTCCAGCTCAGCTTTCCCAACTCCCTCATTGTTTCCTCACGGAGCTGCTCCACCCTTCCAATGCAAAACCCAATTTCCTTTCCCAAAGCCCTCCCCCAGCAATCCCAGGCCCCCCCAAAGTCATTCCCAGCCGCGGGAACGCTCCCATTCCGAACCTGTCGGCCACATCCATGTCCCCCTCGATCTTGTGCAGCCCCCTCATGATGCTGTCGAACTGCTCCCCCTGGGCCTGCAGCACCTTGGCCGTGTCCTCCAGGCGTTTCTGGGATCCCTCCAACATTCCCGACAATTCCCGGCCCTTGCTGGAGCCCGAGGCCGCTCCCGCTGCCCCCTCCCGGCCGGGCAGCAGCTGCTCCCTCCAGAAATGCTCCAGGACGTTGAACACCACATTCCTGTTGGGCTGCAGGGAGCCGAACCAGTGCTTGGCGCCTTTCTCCAGCACGGTGAGCGAGCTGAAGATCAGATGGGAAGATTCCTTCTTGATCTCGCTGATGCCGGAGAGCTGGAAATCCGCCAGGAGCTCCCCGGATTTGTCAGCCGTGAATTTGATGGAGGTGGAGGTCAGGGAGAGCTTGCCAGGGATCCATTGCTTGCTGGAGTCCAGGTAGTAGGAGCAAGGCCAGGAATGGATCCGGATGTCCTCGCTCATGGGCTCGCCCAGCCAGGACTCCTCTCCCAGGGAAACGCTGAAAATCCAAGGGGGATTTAGAATCCCACAGGAAACACTGAAATCCAAGGGGGATTTAGAATCCTGCTCTCCAACCCAGTGGGAAACACTGAAATCCAAGGGGGATTCAGAATCCCGCTCTCCAACTGAAATCCAAGGGGGATTTAGAATCCCGCTCTGCAATCCCACAGGAAACACTGAAATCCAACGGGGATTTAGGATCCCGCTCTCCAATCCCACAGGAAACACTGAAATCCAAGAGGGATTTAGAATCCCAATCTCCAACTGAAATCCAAGAGGGATTTAGAATCCCGCTCTGCAATCCAGTGGGAAACACTGAAATCCAAGGGGGATTCAGAATCCCGCTCTTCAACTGAAATCCAAGGGGGATTTAGAATCCCGCTCTCCAATCCAGTGGGAAACACTGAAATCCAAGGGGGATTTAGAATCCCGCTCTGCAATCCCACAGGAAACACTGAAATCCAAGGGGGATTTAGGATCCCGCTCTGCAATCCCACGGGAAACACTGAAATCCAAGGGGGATTCAGAATCCCGCTCTGCAATCCCACAGGAAACACTGAAATCCAAGGGGGATTTAGGATCCCGCTCTCCAATCCCACAGGAAACACCAAAATCCAAGGGAGATTTAGGATCCCGCTCTCCAATCCCACAGGAAACACTGAAATCCAAGGGGGATTCAGAATCCCGCTCTCCAAACCCACAGGAAACACTGAAATCCAAGGGGGATTTAGAATCCCGCTCTCCAACTGAAATCCAAGGGGGATTTAGAATCCCATTCTCCAATCCCACAGGAAACACTGAAATCCAAGGGGGATTCAGAATCCCGCTCTCCAATCCCACAGGAAACACTGAAATCCAAGGGGGATTCAGAATCCCGCTCTCCAANAAGGGGGATTCAGAATCCCGCTCTCCAACTGAAATCCAAGGGGAATTTAGGATCCCGCTCTCCAACCCCACAGGAAACACTGAAATCCAAGGGGGATTTAGAATCCTGCTCTCCAACCCAGTGGGAAACACTGAAATCCAAGGGGGATTTAGAATCCCGCTCTCCAACTGAAATCCAAGGGGGATTCAGAATCCTGCTCTGCAATCCCACAGGAAACACTGAAATCCATGGGGGATTCAGAATCCCGCTCTCCAATCCCACAGGAAACACTGAAATCCAAGGGGGATTCAGAATCCCACTCTCCAATCCCACAGGAAACACCAAAATCCAAGGGGGATTCAGAATCCCGCTCTCCAACTGAAATCCAAGGGGGATTTAGGATCCTGCTCTGCAATCCCACAGGAAACATTGAAATCCAAGGGGGATTTAGAATCCCGCTCTCCAACTGAAATCCAAGGGGGATTCAGAATCCCGCTCTGCAATCCCACAGGAAACACTGAAATCCAAGGGGGATTCAGAATCCCACTCTCCAATCCCACAGGAAACACTGAAATCCAAGGTGGGAAAAGCAGGAATCCCGAATAAACACACCTGGATTTATCCGGCTCTTTTCAGCTGGAGATCCAAGGAATTTGGGAATTTCTAACCACAGGAATATTGGCTTTGGAAAAGCCCATCAGGCATTTTCCCAAGAATTCCACTCTGGAATATTCCCATTGCTGTTAGCTTGGTTTACCTCAGACCAACAGGCACTGAGGAAAATCCCAGATATCCCAAAATTC